CGTAAATTTGAAGTTATCGCAGGAAAAATAATACATTTTTTGTTATAATATTTCTGTCTGGATGAAATTTGCACAAAGGTTAGTACTATTGGATAGTAGGATAGATACAAACTTTCAGCTCTATCGGTCAAGAATTGGCGGACTTAGAGGGCTCAAATTTGAACATTTTGGTCATACAGGGTTTTATTCAAATGAGTGTTACTTTTCACCTATTGGTCCAAATGAGTTCAGATAGCTATTTCTTCATTATTTCTGTATAAGCTAAAAGTTACTATATGTTTGACACCTATTTCGATAAAAAGCTAATAAATATAATTATTTTTCCCGTAAACATGTTAAAATAGACCCATTTCAAAAAAATTGGTGTTACTTTAGTGTGAACAAAATCTGGATTTTAAATTGTTGTAGGGAACTCTATCCGGGGGCATATTGCTTTGATGAAAGGCCCCATCTGGGTGTCATTGCAATCCCGGGGAAAAGAGGTGCTACCAGTACCTGTAGTCTGTCGAGACTATAAACTGGTGCTAATCAAATGTATCCTCCGGCTTCCCTTGGAATGATTTGACATGGGGTTGAACGAGAGAACCACATAATCTTGTCCCAGTTATTGGAGAGGACCCTTCAGGGTGTACGTGGTGGCTGTGGTTTAAACCCAAATTCGCGGAAAGAGAATGTCGGTTAAAAGACTGATGTTGCTGACTCAACAGATCCAGTGGTGAGTCATCAAATAAACTCAGCCTGTGAACTAAGCATTTCGACATCTTGTTGTAGGGAACTGATGACCATTCCAATTCTACGCGAGATTCTTAAAATTGTTGTTCCTCGGGACACTTTAATATAAATTAGAGTGCTCCCAAAAAATTAACTTGTGAATTTAATCTGCCCCCTCTAGAGTTGTTCTTTGGATTGGTTGAAGTTTGATTTTTGAACGGCCGTTTCAATTTTTTCCAATTTCGGTTTTCTTTTAAACTTTGCTATAGTAATTTTAACAATCTTAGGAAATATTATAGAGATTTATGGACGATAGATAAGGGAATAACATAGTAAACAAAATTGGCCTGTAACTCTTAAAGTTTAACTGTACCTGCGATTTCAAGTCGAAGGATTTCGGGAAAATATTTTTTTGTAATATTTTAGAGAATACGTCTTAATTATTTTATTTTAAATAACGTATTTTCTGAGTGTTATAGTCCAGACATATATCTTTGAGGTTTTATTCAAAAGTAAAATTTTACAATATTTGGGAATTCTCAGTGTACCGTATCGAAATATTTTTTATTTATCGGACATATTTACTAAAACACACATATATTTGAGTTTTTTAATAAAGATTTATATTGTCGCCTTTTAAAAATGATTTCATTAATTAGGTATTTGTTTTATTGCCGACTCCTTAAGAAAGACATTTCGAACCCTGGAATATTTGGCTGATTTTTTGTTTTGATTTCAATTTCATTCATAACAGTTTCACACACATAACTGTAATTATTTGATAGGTCGTTTTGTCCGCCTATCTTATCAACCAGTTTACTAGACAGGAAGTCTACCGATTAAATTTAGATAATAAATCGGATTCTTGGTAAGCGTTTAAATAAATATATTTATTTAATATATAGAATATAGAGAGTTTTTAGATCAAAAGACATAAATGTATTCCATCATCGATGAGGCGAGAGTCCCTTTTGCAAAAACAGATAACTGAAACCAAAATTTTTCTTTAGAAGAAATCGTTTTTTTAATTTAAGCGATCATAGATCGAACTTCTTTTCTCAAATAAACAATTATTTAAAAGTGTTCGTGATCGGTCCGGGTTTGACATTGTCCCAGTTTTAATACATATAAGTAGGTTGTATTACACCCTGTAACAATTTGAAAAAAAGCTTTCACACATAGAAAACCTGATATGCATGTGAAACTAGATTACATTTATAGCAATTCTGCGTACTCCGATTTTTATAATTAGCTCTTATAAGGTTTAAAGGACTTACATTTTCAAACGAATATTTTAAATGTTTATGAGCATTGTATGATGCTAATGATGGTGTCTAATGAAAGCTGGGGATCTGTACATTCACTTAGAAAAAAATCGAAATCGGAATTCCATCTTTTGAAATCGCATGTCCTTTAAACTTTAAAGCCATTTTACAGGGGCATAAGAGCTGGTTATGAAAAATTTCGTACACAGAGTTAGTACGAATGGTCCACAGTTTCCTGTACATATAGATTTTTTCATGTGTGAAAATGACTGTTGCATGTTATACTTCCACAACACCAATACTGCTTCGTACTTCTATATATATCCGATATATTGAATTCTGTGTATCGCTTTCGGATTACAGAATCCTAGAATCATGAAATTTTGATAGTAGATGTGTTTTTGGTTATATAGATCCACTAAGGAGGGATTTTTGGAAATTTGAACATTTAGGGATAAAAAAAAGGGAAAACAGGTTTTCTTAATTATCTTACCTAATATTAGTGATACAAGAAAAATTTTAAATGCACATGTACCTACTCTTAAAATAAGCAGATGGGTGTCTGGAAATTCGTACTTTTAAGGGGTGAGAATGTGTAACAAAGGTGATTTTGGTACCTTTTTTTGGCCCTTTATAACTTTTTAACTAATAAACAAAATAACATTTTTGTAAATATTTTGAATATATTTCCCAAAATTAGGAGACACCTGTTTCATACTTTTTTAAATTTCAGCCCTTTTTGGGTGTGGAAGGGAGAAAACTGTATTTTTGGTACTTTTTTTTTAGCACATTAAGAAAACTTTTTCGGTTTATTGAAATATTCCTATTAAATTACGGACTAACTCTGTAATATTTATTGAAACAAAATGTTTGCTATTTCACTGGCGAAAAAAGTACCAAAAAGTGGAAAAACGGGAAATTTAATTTTATTCAAACTCATTGAGCCAATTTTTATAAAATTTGAAAAAGAAGTTTATGTACTCACACAAAATAAGCTATTGATATATTATTTTGGAATTCGAGTACTAAGGCCTATATAGTCTGGTACTTTTTTGAAAGCACAATTTTTCTGGAACAAATGAATGCAGATTTGAATCGTTTGAGTTTTATCTGTGATATATAAATTTAAATACGGAACATTTTGTAAACTTAATTCTCAAAAAAGTATATTTTTAAACTAAAAGAGGAAAAATTGTACTATTTTAATTAGTACTTTCCACTAAGGCAAAATTTCACTGGCGAAAAAAGTACCAAAAAGGGAAAAAACGGGAAATTTAATTTTATTCAAACTCATTGAGCCAATTTTTATAAAAATTTTAAAAAGTAGTTTATTTACTCATACAAAATAAGCTGTTGGTATATTATTTTGGAATTTGAGTACTAAGTCCTATATAGGACCAAATTCGAGTAAATTGTTTGGTACATTTTTGAAAACACATTTTTTCTGGGACAAATGAATGCAGATTTGAATCGTTTGAGTTTTATCTGTGATATATAGATTTAAATACGGAACATTTTGTAAACTTAATTCTCAAAAAAGTATATTTCTAAAATATAAAGGGGAAAAATTTTACTATTTTTATTAGTACTTTCCACTAAGATAAAATTTATTCCACTTTTGGTACTTTTTCTTTCTTCAAATGATACTCTGTATGTTTTATAATATGAATTCAAAACACATGATTATTAAACATACACGGTCCTCATTGAATAAGATTCTTTAAGAGAGAACTTTTTAGTACTTTTTATCTCATAAATGGTACTTTTTGAGTTTTCTAAAATATTCAACCTAGGAATATAAATTTTAACATACATGGTCTTGATTGAATAATATTCTGTAAGTGGGTACTCTTTGGTACTTTACCATTCTTCAAATGGTACCTTTTGGTTTCTCTATAATGGTTAACCGGAACACATCCTTATTAAATAAGAATTTATTGAGAAAGATTTTTGTACTTTTTCGTTTTTCCGATGGTACTTTTTGATATTTTAAGATATTGAACATAGATATTGAAAATAAAATTTAAAATGTAGGGACCTTAGTGAATGAGAATCTACTAAAAGGGGCTTTTGGTACTTTTTCATTCATAAAATTATATTTTTTGAATTGTCTATAATATTGAACACAGAAACATAAAATTTTTGATTAAATAAGAGGTATTTTATAGTACTTTTTTTAAATAGTAATTTCGAAATTTTTTTTTAATGTGGAAGCTAAACGAATGAAACTAAAAATACAAACTTCTTCCTGAATGCGAATTTATTCACGTGATATTGAACGTAAAAAACTGAAACATTAAAAAGTTTTTAAAACAATTTTAATTTTCTATAAAAGTAAACAAAATTTTGTATGTATATATTTAATTTTGGTTAGGGTAGCGAAGCACCCAGGGTATGCTAGTTTCTCATAAAAGAATAACATATTAATTGGCTAAGTTCGAGAATCGAAATCTGATGTTAGAGATAAATCGAAGGGATCGGTGTTTGTTTCACATTTTTATTGCGTTGAAATCACAGCACTGTTACTGCTATGAATTCAGACTCAAAGTTCATTATCAGATTACCAAAAAGTAGAATTGTCTGTCCAGACACTTTAAAGTAAGATATATGTATGTCAAGTGACCCAATTCAAAAAATCGATTTTGACGAAATTTGCACCAAGGTGCACATTTTCAGCTCTATCGGTCAAGAACTGCCGGACTTAAAGGGGGTCAAAGTTGGACATTTTGGCCATACAGGGTTTTATTCAAATGAGTATAACTTTTCACCTATTGGTCCTAGCAAAAATTGTCCAAAGGAGTTCAGATAGCTATTTCTTCATTGTCTCCAAAAACAGATTTTTTTAATATTTTTTAAATAAGCTGAAAATTTGTGCAAATTTCATCCAAATCGAATACGGGGATAAATAAGTGATCCGTGATAAAAACAAATAAATTTCTTTCAATTAACTACATACAATAATACAAAAATCCTTTTAATGCTTATGTTCACCATTACATTTTATTTACGAAGATTTTCATTTATTTAATGAATCAATTTCGAACAGAATTCAATTTTAACGGGAAATTTAATAAAAACGCTTTCCAATTCCCTAACAGCTTTAGTTACACATTTACCAGCATCACCCGGTACATTTGTAATGTTCTTAATCAAAGTAATAGCTTCCTTAACTTGATCTTTTAATTCTACAGTCCGCTTGTACAATTTCTTAAAACATTTTCTGGGAGTTGTAGAATTATCCGATTCTTCTGGATTCAAGGAATTACCACAGATATTTTCATTAACATGAAGAATATCATTACATATTACAATGATATTTTTGCAAGCATCTATCAATGATTGAACACTGTTCGTAACATTATTTCCGCAACGTTCAATGTCATCGATAAATTTCAGAGCGGCTTCTTTAATTTCCAAAACTTCTCGAACGGTACATTTGACTCCCAAGATAATGGATAAAGCTTTACGTATGACAATATTGAGAGTAGACCAAGAGACGAGATAGGGTTCAATTTCAACAATTCCCTCGGCGATGTCATTGGCTACAAACTGATAATCGTTATTTGAGTCCAAATTGTTCAAAGGCGAGGATAGAATAAAGTTGGCCTAAAAGGATTTAAAGGATATTTTAGAAAATATGTTTTTCTTATTTTTAAAATTTTATTTCAAACTTACACTTGTTGCCACAAAACAAAAGCTAGCCACTAAAAGAATTTTGCAGAATAATTGCATGTTTTCAGTTTTTAAAAACTTTTCTAATGCTGAACTTTTTTGGCGGTTGATATTTAAACGAAATTTTTCTTAGATATTTGGCCCAGATTTTATTTACTTTTTTATAAAACAACATATGTTTGTCGGACTTTGATAAGATTTAAACAGCCAGCTGTTTAACAAACCTAATCTTGTGTCGCAATCTTATTGTGTAGGTGTTTTGGCAGACGGGAATTCCATCGATAAAGAACGTTATTTTAAAAATTACGTGTTTATTAAATATATTTATCAATTAACACTACATTTTAATGGCAAGTCGATTTCGAGAAAGTTTTATATTTTGCGCCTAAAACTTTGCAATAGGAAATAGGAGTTTCGATAACTTTCAGCGTTTGGAGACTACCAAGACCAAATCTACTACTACATTATCTAATTGTTTTGTTCTATCTGCTTTCTCAAACAGATTCTTTAAATGATTATGGAAGACTTACCTCTAATGATCTGACACACTCTTGAAGGCTATATTATCTTCCTTTGCTCCTCCTAAAATTTTAAATACTTAACATTCTTTGTTTGGTCCACTCTGTCGAAATGGTTATCATTTCCTTTGTTCGCCCTGTTCCCAGTAATTTCATTCTTCAAGACTATAGATAGCCTCTCTATATATCATTCTCTAGCTCTTGTTCTCATAAAGATTTAACCATTTAATACTACAGATGTTATCGTTAAGTTCAGTCGAGCAAGATCTCTATGATTAAACGCTTCAGTTTCTAATCTAAGTAGCTATTTCAGTGCTAACGTTAACGTCCAAGAGCAAGTTTCGATTATAGGTTTCCTAATAATTTAACTCTTTAAAACATTATGTATGTTTGCTGTCGGAAGCATTGACTACATAGACCAGAGTTCTAGTCTGTTTAGTAGTGTATGCGTTAAGTGATATTCAACCCTATATTGAAATCTAAGTGAGCACAGATCGAACTGTTTTTCTCGTTGACGCCATTGGTCCAATCTTGACCGATCTACTCTGCTAGTTTTCCCTGTTTATGTGCGTTGTCCTATCTTCTGAATGACATTTGCGTCTGAATGACATAGTAGCTTCAGTTTCCGTTTTATGTATTCCATTGTAGTGCTCCTGTTCATTGTTTTCTCCGTTTGGATATCAGAGGCATGTTTCTATTATAGGTTTCGTAATAATATAACCATTTAATACATGATGTTTTCTATGTTTACGCGTCGGACTAATTACTTTCCTTTCAAAATAATTCCGATCTAAGGAACCCAATAGAAGTATTAACTACTAGTGCTCAATAAAAGCGATCCCAGAGTACTAACGGGGTTACATACTGGACATTGTGGCCTTAGATACCATCAATTCACTACAGGCAACTCTATAAGGAATCTCTGCAGATTATGTGACCTACAAGAGGAAACTTCAGAACATATCCTATGTAACTGCCCATTATTAGGGTCCCGTAGAGCTAACATCTTGGGTTCTGCCTTACTAACCCCAAAAGACATCTTCAATATTTCACCAACTAAACTAGTTACCTTCATGCGTGAACTGAAACTATTATGGTGAACCAACGGGCTGCACAAAAAATCCACACCTAGGTCGCAGTGCATTGTGACCCTTCAATCTAATCTAAAACGGGTTTTCAATCTGTTCAGTAGTGTTCGCAGTAACTTAAGGAATATTCAGCCCTGTATAGCTCCAAATCTAATTGAATTTTGCTGTTTTTCTTGTTATAGCGATTGGTCCAGTGTTGACCGTTTTACTCTGTTCATTTTCTCTCTTTATCTGCGTTTTCCTAACTTCTGAATGACATTTCCGGTCAGAAATCGCTTCGGTATCTGGAGATGAATGGAAATGACCTACGCTTGTTGATCGACAGTTCCTTTGCATTCTCCTGGTAACACATAGAATCCTATTGCCTAGACTCCTCTCCATTCCGGTTTATATTTATATATTTAGCATAACCATCGGTGTCATATAATTTTAAATTCAGAGCTTTAAGTTCGTATCAAATTGCATTGAACTCGGGTTTGACAAAAATTAATTCTGATCATCGAGCTAGATTTTGTACGTCCAACGATCAAGATTCAAGATATTGCCTTATAAAGTTATCGAAACCCTGATCTTGTCCCTTGCATTCCGAGTTTGAAACCTACCAATAACAAGTTCTCTTCATCAGTCTGATTTTGATTTATCGGAATGGATTGGGAGTTTTTCTGTCTCATTAAAATTGGGTACGATCTGAGGAACTCAACAAAAGCACCATAAATAGACCTATAAAATTGAGATCGGAGTTGGTTCAGTGAACTCACAGCTATGGTCTTCGTCTACGTAAACATATTACGTCTTGTTTTCGGAAGTTACCATGAACAAGACCTTCATTTGTCGCTTCAAAAGTTGCCGTTTTAACACCCTAAACTTATTACAAATCGATCTCTATTGTGTTCAGATAACTGCTCTTTTTTCAGTTAAAAAATATGTGTAACCTTAACAAAATATGGATTTAAAAAAATAACAAAAAGTTGATTTAAATTTTGGTTGCGAAATTTTTTATTGAATAATGTTAGTCCTTTCACACTTTAATGGTCTCTTCTTCCAAATCTCATTACAAATTAATGCAATAAACTGGAGCAATACTTCACCTTAGAGGGGAATTGATTAAAAACATTTCCTAAGTTTTGAGCAGCGGTATTAACACATTCATTAGCGGTACCAGGAACCTTAGGAATCTGCTTAATCAAATGAATAGCACGTCTAATTTGATTCTTCAATTTCAAAGTTTTACCCAACAACTTAAAGAAACAGTTAATTTTGGTTTTCTGAACAGCAGGCTCCATAACATCATCTTCGGCTTTAGGAGAGGTGGTAGAAGTAGAGGTACCACCGCAAGTGGTTACATTAACACTGATAATATTATTAGCAGTAACAATGATATTTTTGCAAGTTTCAATTAATTGTTGAGCTTTAGCATTAACATCATCGCCACACAATTCAATTTCATCGAGGAATTGTTGGGCAGCATTTTTAATGCTAACCACTTCCTTAACGGTACATTTGACACCCTTAATAGCGGTCAAAGCTTTGCGTATGATAAAGTAAATGCCCAACCAAGGAATAACTTGAGGATCAATTTCAGCTGTAACATCTTCGGCAATATCATTGGCAATATATTCGTAGTCAAGATCAAAATCATCCTCGATCGAGGATGCTACTTCAATGTTGGCCTAATAACATATGTTATTATTTTCTTCAAAATAATATTTAAATTTCTACTTACACTTACGACCACCAAACAGAGGCCACACAATAAGAAAATTAAGGAATACTTCATATTTACTGTTGCTAGTTTAAAGAAAACTTTTCTAATGTTCACTACTCCGAATTATTTATATTTATATGGAATTTTTTTTTATAATTTTGTTAGTAATTCTAAGTTCTTTTAAGAGTGCTTAAGCACTTCTTACCTTTAGATTAGATTTTATAAACCAATAACAAAATATCCACCCTTGATTGTTGGTGTGATAAGTTTTGTTGGAATACTTTTTTAATTTGCTGAAGAGGTTTTAGCATGGCGTCTTGCGATTAAATTTAAATCAATGTTTTGATTTGTTTATTTATTTTTTAATTGTTTATTATAATTTTTTTGAATAATACTTACTTACCTCTATCTATTAATCGTATATTTCCTTCGAAGATAACGATTAAAAAAAATCATTTATTATTAAATTTAAAAAATAAATAATTTTTGTTCTTTACTGATAAATAAAGTATTAGTTAAACAAAGCGCCTTTGGGGGTAAAAAATAGGTTTAATAGTTTTTTTCTGGCTTATGTATGTATTTACGTTTAAGGGTTAATTTCAATTTTTTCGATGTCATCGTAAATACGGGTCTTCATTATATATTTTTCCTAAGTTTCATTTAAATAGGTTGAAAACAATATTTTTCACAATGGTTTCAAGAAAATATTCCAATATTACATAGCTTAAGTTTGACCTTCACAGTTAATGGGTTAACATATGTAATTCGAGTTTACTAACGCTTGTATTTATAAAAAAATCTTATTTTGCTTTTAATGCACTCAATAGTTAAAGCACACTTTAGCCTTAAAAACCATTAATAAAATTGTGATATTCATAAACAAATAATAAACGTATATTAACTATTGTGCTGATTTATGTTTAAGTTGGCAGCACTGTACAATATGGCTGTCATTTTATGTGTTAGTGTTGCGTACAATTAGGATAAAATATTCGTTGATTCGGTTTTCTTAATTTCATATTTTTGTTTATAATAGATTTTTGACAATAAAAACAAACTTTTAAGAAAAATAAATATATATATATATATATATATGGCTTTAATAAATGTCTATTTAGTTCAGATGTATAAATATAACATATAATTTCTAATTATTATTAAAAGTATCCGAATAACGGAAATTTTGCGACAAAATATACATCACTATGACACATTTTCTTATTTTTACTTATTTTCCTTGTAATTTTTGATAAATTTTTGCAAATATTGATAAATTTCTTTGATATTTGACTAATTTTAATGCCGGCGAATATATTTTGCATTAGTATAACAATAATCAATATAATTTACATGGTTAATTACTTTATGGCATTATATTTAACCAACAAACTTTGAAAAAGCCAAATCAAATGATTTTGTCCATCATTTGGTTGACAGACGGGCATTTCCAAATTGCCTAAAAATAGTGCTGGACAATTGGAATATTGTCAAATATTCATGCATTAATCCAATAACGCCTAGATTTGAGTTTTTTCCTCAAAATATAATCGTTTAAAAATTTTCTGGGATTTTATTTACAAATTTGTAAACGTTAAAATTAGAATTTTTAGATTTTATTTTAAAAGAAACCATAATTACTTTTCGCAATCAACCTAAAATTACCGGAAAAATCTTTATCTGAGAAAAAAATTGTTAAAAATCAAGTTATTGCTGGCTTAAAGAAGGGTCGAGCCTACAATAAAATTCTTCTAATTGTCAATGGTTTATTGAAGGTGTTTTAAGCTATTTCACGTTTATAAATACGATTTTCCTGAATTTTGCCTAAAATTGTTTAATAAACCTAAAATAAGTTTTTATAAATACAGCCGTAAAACTTCAGATGTATGTTTTCTATTATCTTGAATTGTATATTCAGCAAAAAGTTTTATATAAAATGGATAATAGCAAAGAATAATAAAGCCTATTTTTCTAAACTTTTAGCAAAAAATAGTTTTCTCCACAAATCCACAAAATTCAACGCTAATAGATCAAAGATATCGACCTAATTTCTTTACTATTTTATGCCGTTCTTTATTGTCCATAAGTCACATAGAGATTTGCTTAAAATTTTTAGATTAGCTAAACAAAATTGCTAAAAGTTTGAAACTGGAGTTTTGAAACTGCCGTCTGAAGGACGCTATCTAATGAGGTTAAGTTAATACTAATATATTTCATGTAATGACATGTTTTTATTAGAATATTTTCCAAAATTTGTTAATTTTTTTAAATGTTTTTCATTTACATAAGTGTTTTATGGCATTAAATGATCGGAGGAATTTGTAATAACCTTAACAACTTTCAACCGATTTTTGTGTTTTATATCTTACTAGTGGCGTCCTGTCCGCGTTGCAGGCCCTAGATTAGACATGCGAATTCTACACATAAATCTACATTAGGGTCATAACTTTTATACATTTTTTGGAAATTTCAAATCAAATTTTTAAATACAAAACTGTAAATTTTCGATATAAACTAGTGTCATGTATACGAAGAAAAATCAAGGATAGAGGCGGCGATTTACCCCCCTTTCAAAATTAGCTCCCAATCATGTAGATTATACTATTAAAAATTCATGTAAATTTGTTCGTGAATAGTTTTAGAATATCGATTTACCCTGGAAGGTTTTTGCAAAATTACCCGAGAAAAATATTGTCATTATAAGAACACTACTGGCTTTCACGTAGTGATATGGCTTAATTTTGGTCATAACCCTAATTTAGATATATATCCCGCAAATTTGTAAATAATCGGTTTAGCGGTTTAGGTGTAATTGATTGAAAATTAACACTCCAACGCCATCTGTCGGGCAAATTTAAAACTTTACAAGAACACTTCTCACTAGGGTTCTATAGTTGAAACGAAAAGTCGACTTTTCGACTTTTTTCATTTAGTTAAAAGTCGACTTTCAGACTATAGTTGAAACGAAAAGTCGACTTTTTTCATTTAATTAAAAGTCGACTTTCAGACTTTTCAACTATAAGTATTTTATAAATAGTCGACTTTTCGACTTTTTTCGATTTTTCGATTTTTGACTATTTTCGACTTCTTTCGACTTTTTTTTCGACTATTTTTGGACTTTTTTCGAGTTTTTCCGACTATATTAGAGTTTTTTACTTTTTTTTCCACTTTTTTAAGATTTTCGACTATTTTTGACTTGTTTCTACAATTTTCGATTTTTCGACTTTTTCCGACTTTTCGACCTTTTTCGACTTTTTTCGACTTTATTCGACTTTTTTCGACTTATCGACTTTTTTCGACTTTTCGACTTTCAGACTTTTCGACTTTTTGACTTTTATTATCAAAGTCGACTTTTCGACTTTTTTCACAGACTATAGTCGAGTTATCGACTTTTTTGGAACAAAGTAGTCGACTTCGACTTTCTTCGACAAAAAGTCGATTGTTCGATTATTCGAAAGTCGATTTATAGAACCCTACTTCTCACTAGTTTATCGATTATGAGCAAACATTACATTTTTAATTATATAGATTGAAACGATAATTGGGTACGACTTCCAATTATTTGCTGTTAAAATCCGAAAAGATAAATTTAGTGCCAAAATTGTAAAAATCGTTTTACACTTCAGAGCCATGGTGCCACCAATAAACGTAGTCCTATCGCTACGAATGCAGTTTTATAACTTAAAGTATATGTCTAGAGGCAGAGACGGTCAATATTCACAACTTTTGTAAAATTGAATAATTTAATATTTGAGACACAATTATACATCCAATGTCAAAATTTGGAAAATTGCTGGGTGATACGACTTTTTTTATTGTAATTTTTGGAATAAGTACAGCAAATTATACTAGGATTAGTGAAAAATATTTAAAAAGTTTTTTCATCGTTGGCCTGTGTAATTAATTCATCAATTAAAATTCATTATTCACTTATTGTAGGGTGTAACATATAAAAACTACATAGTAAAATTCTCCGTTACTTTTAAAACAACAACTCATGCAAAAGCATCAAAAACAATATAAACACATATTTATTGCACTTTCCTTTTTATCATATAAAAAACTTCTGCTTGTCTAGTATTACAAAAATGTTTAAACACAATAAACCAACAACTGCAGGAAGAAGGAGAGAAATAAGTTATTAAAAATTACTCTCTTTGATATTTGCAGTTAAATGTTTATCAATTTGTATCAGGGTTGTAATTCTAATCAATTTCTTAAGTAGCTTTATAGGACATTTTTAAATAAATTTAAGTTATTTTAAAAAAATAGGTTTAGTTTCAAGGTGAAAACTTGTTAAATCGATTATGATATAATTCCAAAACGTTTCATTTCTGTAATTTTTATGTTTTATTATTATTTGTTAATCAGATTTTAGTTAATATAAAATATATTTTGAAAGAAAATTGAACAATATTAATCAATAAGGTTTAAAAGCTATCATAGTTTCCATCCCTGTTTTTTTTTTGTTATACAAATACGAAAGACGCGAAACATAATAGAAATAAAAAGAAAATATTAAAATGTACATATTTACATGATTATCATTGGCGACAACATTCAGTTTACATACCAAACAAGTAAGAGTGTTATATTCGGCTATGCCGAATCTTATATACCCACCATCAAACCTCGTTTGACTCGAATGAAACTAACTTATGTCGAATTTCATCTATATACTCGTATTTTTAGGCCAGTTATAAGCGTTAAAGTAATTTTCTAAAGGGGACCTTATATAGGGGGGTAGGGTCAATTATGGGTCGATCCTCATAAATTTGGTAGACAGAATTTGGTTCGTATTAAATTTATTTGTGTCGAATTTCATCGCTACACTCGTATTTTTAAACCATTAATGAGCGTTGCAGTCATTTTCTGAAGGGGACCTTATATGGGGGGTAGGGTCAATCATGGACCGATCCTCATAAAATTTGTTAGATAGATTTTGACTCGTATGAAACTTACTTATGTCGAATTTCATCTATATACTAGTATTTTTAAGCCAGTAATGAGCGTTAGGAATTTTCTGAAGGGGACCTTATATGGGGGATAGGGTCAATTATGGACCGATCCTTATAAAATTTTGCATAGTGATTTTGGATCATAAGAAACTTACTTATGTCGAATTTCATCGCCATATTCGGCTGTTAAAGCTGCTTTTCGAGGGGCCACTTGTATGGGGGCTATCCGAAAATGTGGACCGATATTGCCCATTTTCAATACCAAACAAACCTTACCTATAAGAAATATTTATGTGAAATTTCAACCCTCTAGCTCTTTCCATTCGGACTCCATCGTGCTTTCAACAGACAGACGGACAGACATGGCTAGATCGTCTTAGAATTTAATGAGGACCCAGAATATATATACTTTTGTGGGTCTATGACCAATATTTGAATGTGTTACAAACGGAATGACAAAATCAATATAGTATATATAAGATGGGGATCTTTTATGATGGTGGGTATAAAAATATGCAACCTTGGTAGTTTCCAAAATCTTTAACTAATCCATAATTGATAATAGACAGTAAGTAATTAATTAAGTAGTAATAACTAGTACGTACAACTGAATGAAATGTGATGATAAAACATCACCAATAACTTTATCATTCTTACGATTCAAAACTTTAACTTTTGAGAGGGGTAATAAAAACATCTTTTTATCCATACAGAGTAAATCGATCTAATGTACTTTTAGATTTCAAGACATCCAAGCTAAACACGGTTCACAAATATTATCTGTTATTGGCAGACATTTTGATTTAGGTTCCTTACAAGTGGCTCCAGTATAGAGTGAAAAGTTTCCTGACCGAATAAGGTCGCCCTTGGGAAGTAACATTAACTTTCATAACATCATAACTTTAACATACATACATACAAGGGGCCAATTAACGCATAAGTGATGGACTAAAATAAAAATTTATCGTATTTTTCCTTTTTGAGATGATGGCATTCGATATTGAACAAGAAATTTAGATGTTTTAGCAATTTTTTTTGTTGTCATCATAATGTGTTTTTGATACGAAAACTTATTCTATCACGTATGTGGTAATTCGGCTCCAGTAATCGACATAAATAAGTTTTATAAGAAATAAAAATTTTCACGAGAAAATCTGTTTGTTGTCAATAAATTGTGAAATTAAAATAAGAATTTTGCAGAGTTCGTTTCATAATAGACTCAAGCCCCTATTAAAAAAGACACTTTTCTGAAAATTACTCTGATACGACACATGTTTTGTTGATGACTATATAATACTCTTATTTGCTTCGCACTAGTCTTTAGATGAAAACACTTCACTACTTCAATCAGTAATTGCCTTATATAGGGTACATATTACTTTCAATTATAACCTTTCTTTTTTATTGAAAAAGCTAAGCGAGAGAAAAGAAGATAAGAAGTTGAAAAAGGTAAGAAAGTGAAAAGCAATTGCAAAATAATTTACTTGCAGAAAAATTATGATCACCTAGTAGTTTACTAGTATACTGTGAACATGTGTGTGTGAGTTATGAAAGTAAAAACAAATAAAATGTTAAGAAGAAAATAATTAAGTTTTCTAAATGTTATTAGCGCCTGGTAATTGAACAGATTTTATACAAAAATTATTATTTATTACATAAAAAACAGGATGATAGATAGATAGGTAGGACAATAAAGAAAAGAAGCAATTAACAAGCATAAATAAAAATATTAAAATAGTACAGAATAGGGATGAAAATAAAAATTGTTAAATAGAGAAAAGGTAAAATATGCATAAATTTATACTTGCTAAAAATCCTGAACACTTAGTAGTTTCCTTGCTTTTACAGCAAACTGTTTCCGTGTGCAAGTAAATATTTAAAAATAAATATTATTTAAAATTAACAATTGGTTGTTGGAAATCATGTTGCCCTGGTTATTGTAAAGTTTGAAAAGAAATTTTGTTAATCAACTAAAAGCGGCGATCATTATAAATAATAAAAAATAATAAAAAAAAGGACAGACAACATTTATAAATTAATCAAAGCAAAAAAAGGAATGAAGATCATCAGAATAATGCTAAATGTGAAACATATAAAAAATCATGACCTAGTAGTTTAACATAATTTGTATTTGTTTTATCAGTTTTTTGACTGCATGTTTGTGATCAGAATTTAATAATTAAAATAAGAACAAATAAAAAAAACATTAAGTAAACAAATTCAATAAAGAAAGGACAATATAAATAAATATGCCAAATAGAAAGAAGTAAAAACAAAGTAACTATATTAACTTGCTGAAAATCATGACCACCTAGTAATTAAACAACATTTGTCTATATGTATTGAATTTTTGGTGCATGTTTGTCATCTAAATTTAATAATTTAAATAACTGAATACTAAAAATTATGTTCTCCTGGTTATATTACAGATTTAACAACAAATTTTATTCAAATTAGCAAGCGAATGAATGTATGGAATGATGAAAAAAGATCAACAAATACAAAACAAAAAGGTAAGGGATAAACGAAAAACAAATGAAAAACATTAAACAAATTCAATAAAGTAACGGAAGAAAGAACCATAAAAGTAAATATGCTACATAGAAAAAAGTAAAAAACAAAGTAACATTATTAACTTGCTGAAAATCATGAGCATCTAATAATTAAACAAAATTTTGTATGTTTTTCTTCCAGCTTTTTGGATGCATGTTTGTTTGTAATTAATCTAAATTTAATAATTTAAATAACAGCGTACTAAAACTTATGTTCTTCTGGTTATTTTACAGATTTAACAAGGAATTTAAATTAAAGCAGCAAGCGAATGGATGGAATGAATGAATGGAATGAAAAAAGATCAAGAACACAAAACAAAAAGGTAAAGGATAAACGAACAAAGAAAAAAACATTACACAAATGCAATAAAGTAACGAAAGAAAGGACATAGAAAGAAGTAAAAACAAAGTAACATTATTATTAACTTGCTGAAAATCATGAGCATCTAGTACTTAAACAAATTTTCGTTTATGTTCTGTATGAATGGAGTAAGATCAGAATAAAATTATTAATTTATACTTTGTGAAAATCATGAGCACCTAATAGTTTAACAAAATTTTTAATGTTTTTGAGTTTTTTGGCTGCTTGTTTGTGATAAAAATTTATTAATTAATACAACTGCCTATTAAAAATTATATTCTCCTGGTTATTTTACAGGTTTAACAACAAAGTTTAATCAAAGCAGCAAGCGAGTGTATGGATGGAATGATGAAAAAAGATGAACAACATAAAACAAAAAAAGAAACGAAAAAAGTATAAACGAAGAACAATTAAAAAGCATTAAACAAATTCAGTAAAGTAAGAAAGTACAATAAAAATAAACATGGTAAACAGAAAGAAGTGAAAAATTAATAAATATTATTAACTTTCTTAAAATCATGAGCACCTAGTATTTTATTAAAAATTTGTGATATATTTTAGTTGTTTAAGGTGCATTGTATTTGTGATAAAAATTATAAAAATAAAAACTACCTACTAAAAATTATGTTAACCTAATATTAAAACTTGTTTTAGTTAAATAAAAAAACAACCTAAACAAAAAGGAATTCAAAATAGAAAAATTTTTAATTTATTTACTTTCTAATAAAGCTGATTACTTGTTAAGTTACAGTGATTTTAATACATATTACTGTATTAAAAACGAAATAAAATTCGTCTCTCTGCTGAAAATTATGTTCGCCTGGTAATTTTACTAATTTTTGCAAAATAACAAGTGAATTAAATAAAATTTTTGTTTTTTACTTTTTGTTTTCCTCCTTTTAAATTTTCTGAAAGCCTGTTAGTTAACAAAAACAATATTTTTTAAAATGCCCCAAAGAAATTGAAGAAAAATCTAAATTAAAAAGTAAAACTTGCTAAAGATGCTGTTCACTTGGTAATATTACCATAGGTATGATGTGTGTAAGAAGCTAGAAAAATGAAAAAACACCGCCTATTGCAGATTCTGTTGGCCTGGTATTTTAGGTGATTTTTAAAAATTCAAATAAAGCCAAGAAAAACACAGAGTTGCCAAATTTTGATTTAGCTCCAGAAAACGGGGAAACTACAGGAAAAGTTAAAAACAAATGGTTTTCATAATTTCTTAAATTCTTTCTTTCTGACTTATTTAACATGATTTTTTTTTTATAAAAATTAGATTTGTGAGTATTTTTTAAATAAACTTTTTATTAATATTTATATAAATTAATTGTATAACAAATAACAAATTAAAGAAAATATATAATATAAATTCATGTGTTTAATAATATTATTATAAAAAAAAATTTAGTTTCTTTCTTATAAATTGATAATTGCAAAGAATAAACATTTAATTTAATATTAAAAATAAAAAGATTATGCATAATTTTTTTTTTAATAATTATAAATTAATATATCAATTATAGTTCTTTAACAGCACCCTGTTCGCTTTTATATTCAGCTGACATACAAATCATTAATTAGTATTCAACGCTTTACACAACTAGTAGAGATTTGTTAAATTACAAAATATTTGTAGAATATTTGTTTTCAAAACTTATTTAGTCATGTAATATTGCACCGAAAATCCCATAATAAGAGGGTATCTTTTAAATAAAAAATATTAAAACTACATAAACAAAAAAAAAAAAAATGTAATAATTGCGTTTATCTAAATAAGTTTTTACAATGATTAACTTAAAAAAAAACATAAATAAAATCTTTTAAATTATATTTAAGATAAATTACAAAATTATGTTTCTTTTTTTTTCATTTCTTTTTAAATTAATATAAAGACAAAAAAATTATATGCAAAGAAAGCAATAAAATGCATTTAAGTTGATAAAAATTTATGAAAAATATGAAATCATTTTAATTTCTTTTTCATTCTGTTATAAGCTTAATGAAATTGTATCGTTAAAGACACAAATGGGATTTATATTATTTATTTGCCTTAAATTAAACTCAGTCTGCTATTGGTTTTTCTTAATTGAGCACGCCATGGTATTATATTTTCAGGTTCATCTTCCTCCTGTTGCTGTTGTTGTTGTTGGTGCTGTTGTAATTGCTGTTGCTGCTGCTGGTATTGTTGTTGCTGATATTGTTGCTGCTGTTGTTGTTGTTGCTGCTGGAAATCCATATTAATATGCTGGTAATTGTCACCATTCACCGATTTACTATCATGACCATTATAAGCACCATTTTGAGCATAACCATTGGCATTCTCTTTATTAGTGTGACTGGATATAATTTCAGTTGCAGAGGAAACCATAGAAATGTTATCGATGGACATGGCACGATTCTTTAGGCGCCATGTATCAGCCACACGATTATTCTCCTCCACTTTGGGAGTGTAAATAGTGGCTCTGCAATGAATGAAATTGGAAATTTGTTATGTTTTGGTTTTAATAGAAATTGATTTGTCTCAAAATAATTTGTCTCAATTGTAAATTGAACGAAAAAATATTATAAAGACTACAGAGGCGTCTATAGTCCAAACTATAGCCTAGACTATTACTAGACTACATAATAGAATAGACTAGAATATAGACTAGATTAAACTATAGACTGGATTATAGAATAGATTATAGACTTGACTATATACTGACTGCAGAACAGACTATATACTACACTAAACTATAGACTAGACTAGAAAACAGACTGGACTACAGAATAGACTATAGACTAGACTAAATTATAGATTATAGACTTGACTATATATTAGACAATAGACTACATATATGCTAGACTATAGACTATATACTAGACTATAGAATAGACTGTAGACTCGACTAAATAATAGACTGGATTGTAGAATAGACTGTAGACCAGACTATGGACCAGACTATAGACTAAATTATAGACTGTACTATATACTAAACTATAGATGGAACTACAGAATAGACCAGTCTATAGAGAAGACTATAGACCAGACTATAGACTAAATTATAGCCTAGACTATAGACTTGATTGTAGAATAGACTATACACCAGTCTATAGACCAGACTATGGGCCAGATTATAGACTAGATTATAGATTATATGGACCAGAATATATACCAAAATATAGACCAGAATATAGACTATAGACTAGACTATAACCCAAGTTATAGACTAGACTGTACTCTAGACTACAGACTAGACATTTTAGACTATAGTCCAGATTATAGCCTAAATTTTTAGAAAAGTTTCAAAATTGTTCAAATTTTGATTTCATTAAACTTGTTCTAAAACATAAATTTACAACTCACTTCAATTTATTTTCAGTCTCCTCACGGCGTGCCAGCAAATCACGTTTCCACTGTGGTATCTGTGATAGTCTTCGGCTCTCTGCCTCTTTAGCCATACGCTCTTCGAAATCCTTTTTGGCCTTTTCAGCCGCTTTCTTTGCCATCATTTGTCGCTTCCAATCTGGTATTATATTACCAGCTTGATCTTTTTCCGGTATCTGTAAGTAAATCTTTGCAAATTTATGAAGAGTCCGCAAAAAGATTATAGACACAAAGCGTAGAATACTCACTTGATCAACGTAATTGTTGGCGGTGAATTGTTTGGTGATCTCCGAATAATGTTCGGAATCCATACGATTGGCCATTTGCTTTTCCACTTTCATTTTCTTAATGCCCGGTATATCTTTGGAGATTTTCAATTCGGCAATTAAATCGGTTTTCAAGTAGGTATCTGTGGTGGAGGAGAGACACTGCATGCTGAGACTTCTAGCAGGCATTTGATATGGTTTGGGTACTTTTTGAGTATCGGTGCGGCGCAGCTATAATAGAACATATAATAATAGTACCTAAAACGTTTTTACTTTTTTGAGATCAACTCACCTGTACACTATTTAAATCCTGTATTGAAATGGCTGACAGGGGTTGATGTTGTTTACGTGTGGCTGTATCTTGATGATTATTTTGCGAATGATGATTATTTTGTGATTTGTTTGTGTTATTCCTTTCGTTATTATCGATGGTATTGTGATGTGTCAGTGGTGTCATGGGCAATGGCGGTGGTGGTGGTGGCTTTGGTGGTTCAAAGCTTATGGGATGCTGATTCGATACCTGTATTTGCATATAGTCTTCGGTATCTGTAGACCTAAAAAATTGAAGATTGAGGTAAAATTTATTAGACTAGACTTGACTATATACTAGATTATAGACTAGACTATAGACTAGACTATAGACTAGACTATAGACTAGACTATAGACTAGACTATAGACTTGACTATAGACTAGACTATAGACTTGACTATAGACTAGACTATAGACTTAACTATAGACTAGACTATAGACTTAACTATAGACTAGACTATAGACTTGACTATAGACTTGACTATAGACTAGACTATAGACTTGACTATAGACTAGACTATAGACTTGACTATAGACTAGACTATAGACTAGACTATAGACTTGACTATAGACTAGACTATAGACTTGACTATAGACTAGACTATAGACTTGACTATAGACTAGTCTATAGACTTGACTATAGACTTGACTTAGACAGGACTATAGACAGGACTATAGACTTGACTATAGACTAGACTATAGACTAGACTATAGACTTGACTATAGACTTGACTATAGACTTGACTATAGACTTGACTATAGACTTGACTATAGACTAGACTATAGACTAGACTATAGACTTGACTATAGACTAGACTATAGACTTGACTATTGACTAGTCTATAGACTTGACTATAGACTAGACTATAGACTTGACTATAGACTAGACTATAGACTTGACCTGCCTATAGTCTATAGACAGGACTATAGACTTGACTATAGACTAGACTATAGACTTGACTATAGACTAGACTATAGACTAGACTATAGACTAGACTATAGACTAGACTATAGACTAGACTATAGACTGCACTATAGACTAGACTATAGACTAGACTGTAGGCTAGACTATAGACTAAACTGTAGACTAGACAATAGACTAGGCTATAGACTAGACTAGACTAGACAATAGACTAGACTATAGACTAGACTATATAGACTAGACTATAGACTAGACTATAGACTAGACTATAGACTAGACTATAGACTAGACTATAGACGAGACTATAGACTAGACTATAGACGAGACTATAGACGAGACTATAGACGAGACTATAGACGAGACTATAGACTAGACTATAGACTAGACAATAGACTAGGCTATAGACTAGTCTATAGACTAGACTATAGACTAAACTATAGACTAGACTATAGACTAGTCTATAGACTAGACTATAGACTAGTCTATAGACTAGACTATAGACTAGTCTATAGACTAGACTATAGACTAGTCTATAGACTAGACTATAGACTAAACTATAGACTAGTCTATAGACTAGACTATAGACTAGTCTATAGACTAGTCTATAGACTAGACTATAGACTAGTCTATAGACTAGACTATAGACTAGACTATAGACTAGTCTATAGACTAGACTATAGACTAGTCTATAGACTAGACTATAGACTAGTCTATAGACTAGACTATAGACTAGTCTATAGACTAGACTATAGACAAGACTATAGACTAGACTATAGACTAGACTATAGACTAGACTATAGACTAGACTATAGACTAGACTATAGACTAGACTATAGACTAGACTATAGACTAGACTATAGACTAGACTATAGACTAGACTATAGACTAGACTATAGACTAGACTATAGACTAGACTATAGACTAGACTATAGACTAGACTTTAGACTAGACTATAGACTAGACTATAGACTAGACTATAGACTAGACTATAGACTAGACTATAGACTAGACTATAGACTAGACTATAGACTAGACTATAGACTAGACTATAGACTAGACTATAGACTAGACTATAGACTAGACTATAGACTAGACTATAGACTAGACTATAGACTAGACTATAGACTAGACTATAGACTAGACTATAGACTAGACTATAGACTAGACTATAGACTAGACTATAGACTAGACTATAGACTAGACTATAGACTAGACTATAGACTAGACTATAGACTAGGCTATAGACTAGGCTATAGACTGGACTATGGACTAGACTATAGACCAGACTATAGACTGGACTATGGACTAGACTATAGACTAGACTATAGACTAGACTATAGATTAGACTATAGACTAGACTATAGACTAGACTATAGACTAGACAATAGACTAGACAATAGACTAGACTAGATTATAGACTAGACTATAGACTAGATTATAGACTAGACTATAGACTAGTCTATAGACTAGACTATAGACTAGACTATAGATTAGACTATAGACTACACTATAGACTAGACTATAGATTAGACTATAGACTACACTATAGACTAGACTATAGATTAGATTATAGACTGGACATATACTGTAGAACTAATATGAAGTTTATTACAAGTTTGTAAGTTAGAAAAGGAACCGAAAATGTCGTGGGTTCTTCGATATTGAAAAGTACTTCATTTTCCATGCCTGGTCCAATGTATTTTTGTCATTCAAGCCTTAACCACTGAACCGAATATTAAAATGTGTTTAGATCTTTATTGACGTGGATAGATGGGAAGAATTTAGGGCCACAACTAATTATAACTTACAGTTTCATTTTGTATTACTTGGAATAATATTAAGAATTCTAAAAATCTTTCAAAATTAAAAGACCAATCGATTTAGAATTTTAAATCTGAAACTCCAATTAACAATTGAAAATCGTAGTTTCATTATAAACAAGTTTGCTCTTGTCGTTATTCTCAAACCTGTGTGTATTGAATTCAATAAATATCAGTCGTTATTAAGTTGAAAAGTTTTTATAAAGTTGGACTTGTTAGGAAACTATATTTATTAGTTTGAAAACTAGAATTTCTATTTATTTCTAAGATTAAAACTTCCTAATTTAGAGAGTACTCAAGTTTTTGTTTTAAATCTCAATTGATACATTTGTTTCAGAACTTGATTAATTGTTAATTTTTTAGTTTTTCTGGTTCGTTCCAATTATTGGCTTTATCCCATTCCCAAAATAGGCAATTAGAAGAAATTTGATGAAAATTGAAATAAGTTTTTATATTTTTAGAAAAACACTTGTTATTAAAATTAGTTTGCGCGGAATTAATAATATTGTAATTTTAATTCACTTAATGACAAAGATAAAAATAACTTTAAATTTAAACTTAAATAAACTTCCTTGCAACGTGCCACAAACAATGCAAAACAAAACAATACACCTACCTATGCCAGGTGCGACGTGATTGTAGTAGCATCGCGACGAATGATGAACTAAAACTAAACTTGTGATCTTGCAACAAGATATTAAACAGCATTAACAACAATTTTCGTGAATTCCTACACAGACACGACTTTTTTTTTTAATGTTATTAATTAATAACATTTTTTGTAAATTTAATTTTTTTATTTTTTTGGCAATAAAACTAAAAAGCACGCAAGTCTAATTGCGAGATTAACAGTAATTAGAGATGTTTTTAATAGATTTTTGCTGTTGTTGATTGTATTTTGCGCCCCCGAAAAATCACGCATTTGTTAAAATATTTTTTTTGGAAAGATTGATTTGGATTAACACCAATGAGTAATCCATCATTAAACAACAAAAACGAACCGATAATAAAAACTAAAATAATAAAGAATTTCACTTACCTGGCCGAGGATGGACATGAACGTTTATCACTAATGGATTTCAAATATTCGGATGGTTTGATGAGATGTGTAACACCATCTTGTGAATTATTTGGGAAACTGGGTGGCACAAATGGCAGTACTAGCTGTTTGTTAACTAAATTTGGACCACCGGGACGTGAGGAAGCATTCCCTGCAACGTTGTTGTGACCGTACTGAGCCTGTGTCAATTCGTAATGATCTTCGGCTGAAGAACCATAGATATGAGGGTGTTGCTGCTGCTGGAGTTGTTGGTAGTGATGATGTTGAGATGTAGAAGATGAGTAATTTGAATGACCGTTGCCGCTATTACTGTTGCCACTAACAATGGCTCCGCCGTTGTGTTGTAAATGCTGATAATGAGCTGGATTTTTGCCATAGTTGCTGTTGCTATTATTGTTGTTGTTAAAGCCGTTGCAAATGCTGCCATTGTTACCGTTCTGTAAATGTTGATAGTTGCTGTTGTTGATATTAATTTCACCATTTGTTGTTGTTTGTGTGTTAGTCGCTTGTTGCACGCTTGAGCCTCCATTGAGTAGTTTAGCTTTCTTGTTCGCTGAAATTGAACAAATTTATTTATTAGATGCATTTACCAAGATCATTTTTTTCTTTAAACAAAACATTCATACAAACACTTGTATTTCAGCATTTAATATGAGTAAATATTTTAAAGTTAGTATTTATGTATGTATTAAATATTGTTTTAGTTTGTTTTTATTTTTACTCTGGTTATGGGTTTTTAAACATTAGACAACACCATGCAGCGGAGTCTATATATTTTTTTATAATAATTATAAATATTCAAAAACTGTTTCTATTTACTATTTAATCTTAACTAAACATGTATCCCATTTATCTATGTAGCTAATGCATTTTAAAGTTTATTACCGAAGTATGAGTAAATGTATTCTATTAAGTTACTTGCAACTATGTTTGTATCTTCAAGTTACAGATAATCAAAGTCGTGGCATGCATTTGAAATGTGCAACAGACCGTTTTTTTTTCTTTTTTTTTTAGTTGTTTGTAGTGTTTATGTTAAATTTGTTGTTCCGAAAAGAGAATTATTTATGGCATCTAATCATGTCTTTGGTGTGAAAAAAATAAGACGAAATATGAAGATGGATAACATTTTAATTAATTAAAATGAACTTTTGTGGATTAGGTCAGTGCGTAGCTTTGTACAAAAATTTAAAGAGATAATTGAGACAATATTTTTTTCTAATTTGTTTATAACCTACATAGAGATTGCAAATATTGGTTGAATTTTATTCTATTTAAAGGTTTTAGTTCAGTTCAGTTCTAGCTCATGTTCAGTTCTAGTTCAGTTCTATTTCAATTCCAGTTCAGTTCTAGTTTTAGTTCAGTTCTAGTTCAGTTCTAATTCAGTTCTAATTCAGTCCTAGTTCAGTTCTAGTTCAGTTCTAGTTCAGTTCTAGTTCAGTTCTAGTTCAGTTCTAGTTCAGTTCTAGTTCAGTTCTAGTTCAGTTCTAGTTCAGTTCTAGTTCAGTTCTAGTTCAGTTCTAGTTCAGTTCTAATTCAGTTCTAATTCAGTTCTAGTTCAGTTCTAATTCATTCTAGTTCAGTTCTAGTTCGGTTCTAGTTCAGTTCTAGCTCAGTTCTAGTTAAGTTCTAGTTCAGTTCTAGTTCAGTTCTAGTTCAGTTCTAGTTCAGTTCTAGTTCAGTTCTAGTTCAGTTCTAGTTCAGTTCTAGTTCAGTTCTAGTTCAGTTCTAGTTCAGTTCTAGTTCAGTTCTAATTCAGTTCTAGTTTAATTCTAGGTTAGTTCTAGTTCAGTTCTAGTTCAAGTTCTAGTTCAGTTCTAGTTCAGTTCTAGTTCAGTTCTAGTTCAGTTCTAGTTCAGTTCTAGTTCAGTTCTAGTTCAGTTCTAGTTCAGTTCTAGTTCAGTTCTAGTTCAGTTCTAGTTCAGTTCTAGTTCAGTTCTAGTTCAGTTCTAGTTCAGTTTTAGTTCAGTTTAGTTCAGTTCTAGTTCAGTTCTAGTTCAGTTCTAGTTCAGTTCCAGTTCAGTTCTAGTTCAGTTCTAGTTCAGTTCTAGTTCAGTTCTAGTTCAGTTCTAGTTCAGTTCTAGTTCAGTTCTAGTTCAGTTCTAGTTCAGTTCTAGTTCAGTTCTAGTTCAGTTCTAGTTCAGTTCTAGTTCAGTTCTAGTTCAGTTCTAGTTCAATTCTCGTTCAGTTCTAGTTCAGTTCTAGTTCAGTTCTAGTTCAATTCTCGTTCAGTTCTCGTTCAGTTCTGGTTTAGTTCTAGTTAAGTTCTAATTGAGTTGTAGTCCAGTTCATTTCTAGCTTAGTTCCAGATCAGTTTTAGTTCAGTTTCTGTTCCAGGTCGGTTGCAGTTCAGTTGTATTTCAGTTTAAGTTCAGTTCATGTTAAGTTATATGTAGTTCAGTTCGAGTTCATTCCGATCTTTAGTTTAAGTTTCTGTTTTGCTCTGTTTAATTTTAAGATATACCATATGGATATGTTTAATAGCATTTATATAAATTCGCTATTATATAGTTTAAAATAGTTATTAGCTAATTAATAATAATATGTACCTATACATACAAACTTATTTTTGAAATTTTTAATTAATAATAAACTAAAAATGAAAACAAAGTTTAGAAAAATCCTTCCGAAAACAATCTCATTTCACCACCCACAATCTTGTTCAGATTCATGCACAACTTTAAAAGCCTTGAACTCTACTCAAGTACATTAACAAGTTTACAAATTAAAATGCCATTTGGTGTAAAAATACCAAATATCAACATTTTTATTTTTTTAAGTGAACATAAACATAGTTTAAACTTGCACTTAAGTATGTATGTTTGTAATAGATAGACTATTACAACTATGAACAAATATAAAATTCACATAAAACGCACATATGCTTATATGCACATATGTATGTGTACGTTCATTAAATTAAGAAAAACCAAGAAAAAAAAATTAGATATGGACACTTAAAAAATATCCAGAGGTTGCATTTAACAACTAAATACCAGCTCGCTTGCACTCGTATGCTTGTTATTTTTGTTTAATGCATATTTTTTGTTGCAATAAACTGAACTGTTTTGTGAAAGTTATGGTAGCAACAACGCAACATATACAGCTTGCAACATTTACAACTCTAAACTCCACAAAAAATAGTTTAACAAGTTTAGCGCTATTTTCTAAACAATTTCCAAACAACTTTTCACACAAGTGTTTGTATTTTGGTATAATGTTACTTTTTTGAAATAGTTTTTTTTTATGATTTAAACGAAATGTTTTATTTTAGTGTTTTGAGTGAAATTAAGTAAGAGAGGGAATACATATTTTTTTTGGGATCATGTTAAAAGTTTAAGTTTAGTTTTCCTGGTAATATGTTTTTTTTTGTACAGGAAAAACTTTTAATGTCTTGTTTTAAAGTACTTTTTAAGTATTAACTGGTCAACTGTTTTCTATAAATCTACCTTAAGCTACGTTCACATCTATCAAATATTTGACGAAAATGATGTGACCTCTATAAATCGATATTTTGACTTCTTTTAAATGTATATTTATTTACACAGACTTAATATATCTCCGATGTTATTGCTATTAACAAATACAAAATAATTGAGGTTACGAATTTTTTGTCAAAAATTGGATAGGTGCGAACGTATCTTTAGCCTTACAGGAATCTGGATTCTTAACCAATTTTTAAATCCACACACCCATAGAACTTTTTAATAGAGATTTAATTTAAAAAATACATAAATGAGCCTTAAGAAATTTTAACTCGAAAAAATTGGAATTTGAGAGAAAATTTTAGATATGTGATGATTATGAGATCTCAGATCAATAATTATTTCTGCACTAATCATGTTAAACTGTCGTTATTTGCTCCAAAATCAAGTTTGAAACAATCGAAAATTTTATTTCGCCAAAATTTTTCTTAACATGAGAACATGTAATACAAATTCTAAATCCTTATAGATAGTGAAGTTGATTCTGAGATGTCCATTTGCTGTCCGTATGTTTGTTGAAAACAACTTTCTCAAGGCCCAAGTTATCATCGGATCCAGATCTTGTGTAGTTCTATAGGACATGTTTACAAGAAGTTCCTTATTTAAAATAACATAATAGAGTTGATTCTGAGATGTCCATCTGCTGTCCGTATGTTTGTTGAAAACAACTTTCTCAAGGCCCAAGTTATCATCGGATCCAGATCTTGTGTAGTTCTATAGGACATGTTTACAAGAAGTTTCTTATTTAAAATAACATAATAGAGTTGATTCTGAGATGTCCATTTGCTGTCCGTATGTTTGTTGAAAACAACTTTCTCAAGGCCCAAGTTATCATCGGATCCAGATCTTGTGTAGTTCTATAGGACATGTTTACAAGAAGTTTCTTATTTAAAATAACATAATAGAGTTGATTCTGAGATGTCCATCTGCTGTCCGTATGTTTGTTGAAAACAACTTTCTCAAGGCCCCAGTCCAGATCTTGTGTAGTTCTATCGGACATGCTTACAAGAAGTTTCTTATTTAAAATAACATAATAGAGATATGAGTACAATTCCAACAGTTTCATACTTTAGAGTACAATTCAGATTCTATATATGTTCGATTGTATAAGTATACAATAGGCAATATGTATATCACAGGAAAGACATTCAAAAGACCTTTCAGGTAAGACCTGTCTATTTAAAGAATTAAACGCTCGTGATATATCGGAAAATATGCTGAGTTTAGCACTTGTTTTAGTTTATCGCTGAAACAAATTATTTAAGTTTGAAAGAAACTTCATGGAAAAGTTTTGGAACTAGTTTTACAAAAATTATGTTTGTTTAAAACGGTCACCATTGTAAGTAGTTTTATAGAATCATTTAAGAAACAGTACTAGAACTAATTCTTGTTAAACATTTTTAAGACTACAACTGGATTGTTGAAAAAATATGTTTTTTGACCCCAGAATATCTTAATTTTATAAGAATCGTTAATTTTTTCAGGGATGCGTTAGGTTTCTTTACACTCAAAAATAATATCAAGAAATGCGCTTTGAAATCTATCCAGACCGGTTTCAATAGTATGGCAAGTTCGGTTTGATTTTGAATCAAAACATCCGTCTGTGTGTGTCAATGTAAACCTTGTGCGCATTCTACAGATCGCAATTTTCAAGATAATCTGATTAAATTTGACACATACTCTTCTTATGACCCGAGGAGGAAGCCTGTTGAAAATGGTTTAAATCGGTCCATTATTTCGTATAGCCCCGAATAGGGCTTTTAAGCTCATAAATGTGTTAAATGTTCTTGTAAAAAATTTAGTTTTATATAAGAATTAATGATACTGCTGATTTTCGCAATGATCGGGCCTCATTTGATCCTATCCCCCATACAAAGTCCCCGCTTCAGAAATGGGGGGACTGATGGTCAATATTCACTTATAAACACTAATGTCGCGATGATATTCTGCATAAATTACTGATGTAGATGTAAATCCCTCTACCAAAATTTATAAGGATAGGACCATAGTTTTTCAAATTTAGGTTAGGATATATCGAAGAACTGAGATGATATAAAAGATGTTAAATCCT